GATTGTGATGCATTGTGATGTAGTGTGATGCATTGTGATGGATTGTGATACATTGTGATGCATTGTGATGCATTGTGATGCATTGTGATGCGTTGTGATGGATTGTGATACATTGTGATGGATTGTGATGCATTGTGATGGATTGTGATACATTGTGATGCATTGTGATGGATTGTGATACATTGTGATGCATTGTGATGGATTGTGATGGATGTGATACATGATGCATTGTGATGCATTGTGATGGATTGTGATGCATTGTGATGCATTGTGATGTAGTGTGATGTAGTGTGATGCATTGTGATACATTGTGATGGATTGTGATGCATTGTGATGGATTGTGATACATTGTGATGCATTGTGATGGATTGTGATGCATTGTGATACATTGTGATGCATTGTGATGTAGTGTGATACATTGTGATGTAGTGTGATGGATTGTGATACATTGTGATGCATTGTGATACATTGTGATGCATTGTGATGTAGTGTGATACATTGTGATGCATTGTGATACATTGTGATGCATTGTGATGTAGTGTGATACATTGTGATGTAGTGTGATGCATTGTGATGGATTGTGATACATTGTGATGCATTGTGATGTAGTGTGATACATTGTGATGGATTGTGATACATTGTGATGTAGTGTGATGCATTGTGATACATTGTGATACATTGTGATGCATTGTGATGTATTGTGATGGATTGTGATACATTGTGATGTAGTGTGATGCATTGTGATACATTGTGATGCATTGTGATGGATTGTGATACATTGTGATGCATTGTGATGGATTGTGATGGATTGTGATACATTTTGATGCATTGTGATGCATTGTGATGCATTGTGATGCATTGTGATGGATTGTGATACATTGTGATGCATTGTGATGGATTGTGATGGATTGTGATACATTGTGATGCATTGTGATGCATTGTGATGCATTGTGATTGATTGTGATACATTGTGATGGATTGTGATGGATTGTGATACATTGTGATGCATTGTGATGCATTGTGATGCATTGTGATGGATTGTGATGCATTGTGATGCATTGTGATGTAGTGTGATGTAGTGTGATGCATTGTGATACATTGTGATGGATTGTGATGCATTGTGATGGATGTGATACATTGTGATGCATTGTGATGGATTGTGATGCATTGTGATACATTGTGATGCATTGTGATGTAGTGTGATACATTGTGATGTAGTGTGATGGATTGTGATACATTGTGATGTAGTGTGATGCATTGTGATGCATTGTGATACATTGTGATGGATTGTGATACATTGTGATGTAGTGTGATACATTGTGATGCATTGTGATACATTGTGATACATTGTGATGCATTGTGATGTAGTGTGATACATTGTGATGTAGTGTGATGCATTGTGATGCATTGTGATGTAGTGTGATGCATTGTGATGTGGTGCGATGCATTGTGATCAGTGTCTGGGATTTATTAATATGTTCTGTGATGCATTGTGATAACAAACGATGACGAACGCTGTAGTGTGACGTTACGTAATGCATCACAAACTTTTATGCTGTTTGGCCAAAAAATATATCGTGCATGGTATACACAACGCATCACAATGCATCACAATGCATCACAATGCATCACAATGTATCACAATCCATCACAATGCATCACACTACATCACAATGCATCACAATCCATCACAATGCATCACAATGCATCACAATGTATCATCCATCACAATGCATCACAATGCATCACAATGCATCACAATGCATCACAATGTATCACAATCCATCACAATGCATCACAATGCATCACAATGCATCACAATGCATCACAATGTATCACAATCCATCACAATGCATCACAATGCATCACAATGCATCACAATGCATCACAATGCATCACAATGTATCACAATCCATCACAATGCATCACAATGCATCACAATGTATCACACTACATCACAATGCATCACAATCCATCACAATGCATCACAATGCATCACAATGTATCACACTACATCACAATGCATCACAATGTATCACATGCATCATCACAATGCATCACAATAAGAAAAGTTATACATCATCTGAAAGCATAATACAGGCTTTTGTGAGCAGTAGTAAGCAATTACATCTAAAGAATATTCCGAGAACTTTATCTTTAAATTGAATGTTTTAGTTTGAAAATATTATCACTTCTGTAATTGACACCTTGTGTCGCCATGGAAACGATTTTATCCTATTTTGAACACTACAATTAAATTCTTCATTATATTAGCTTTAAATTGATATATGATTTGTATGTAGTTTAGTAAATGTTGGCTTTTATTATAACTTTATTTTGTTATTGTTCGCTATTTCATTTTTTCTCTAAAATAAACTTGGGACTTAAAGGGTTAAGGCACCATTGACATGTAGAAGGTATTCTTTCAATTTTTTGATGTCCAGGAAACAGTTATTACGACATGGTCTCTTCATTCTGTTTGAAACTTAAACCTGTACCAGACACTGATCCTTGGTAAAATAATTAGACATTAGTTACATATAGTAATAGTTAAGGGTCTGTCGAAGTTGCGGAGGAACTAACAGCAAGTGACCACTAACTGGCATATATGTACATATTTTAATTCAACGTTTAATGAAACTTGATTTTTTAATACTAATGTTGTATGTTTTTATTCAATATAACTTGTTGAAAAAACTAGGAATTGTGATGAAATTGTTCAAAGGAATGCTTGATTATATTTAGAGATGAGACAATTCGATTAATAGACGATACCTAGCGGGGGGGAATGGAGGGGGGGTGATTTTCGAATGAACATTAATAGTCAAAACAGGTTAATCGAAACGCAATAAAGTGATAAAATAAAATTTTAAAGAAATGAAGGTTGAATGAACCACGCAATTCAATACTAGTAAAAATGACTATTATTTGTTTGTTGTAGATAATCGACCATGCATATATAATTGCTCATCTCCAATTACAGATGCGTAAATAAAAAGGGAATGAATTAACTTTCCGTCTTACGAACGACTGGTAAAAGAGGTTTTTTACCAGTCTTATAGCATCTAACAGTATATTTGTTTCTGTGCTTTACCATTCTATGTAAGTAAAACAAATGATGTACTTTGGGCATAGCACACAGTATCTTCTTAAACCTGGAAAGCCAGACGAAAGTCTGTTCAGCAGCCATTGTATTTCCATTTGGGATTTCAGTTTTTAAAGGCAAAGGATTGTATTTCTCCAGGCATTTCTCGTCTTTGTGATTTTTTATATGAAGGCTATCAATTATTTTACGAATTGACAGCCATGCTTTATCCCATGGTTGAGACCAAGGCAAAACTTTTTCGCTGCTTGTAAGCCATCTAGGTGGCACATGTTGTCATATGAAAAAACGGAACTCAATTCATTGGGTTGATTTCCTTTAACATAATGCGCAGCCAAGAAAGAGTTATCAAAACACTTGAGAAGGGCTTTCAGATCTGAAAAAAATTAATTGTTATGTAAATGTATAATAAATACAAAGTTTTTCTGAAGATGCGCTTTTGTCAAGCATTCTCTGTGCTTACCTATAAAGAGGACTCCATTTATCGATTATTCCTCCTCCTCTAACTATAAACAAATGCCCTCTTGACCACTTTTGAAGTCTTTGTTTTCCCCAGTTTCCTTATTGCATTTTGTTTTGTTGGTTCAACACAATCTCTTAAAATAGCTTTAATTGCATCTGGCTCATTATTAACGAACTCAGCATTGCCTATATGGAACAAATTAGCGTTAGCACTAGTTATCAATTGTGTTTAGAAACGACACACAATACACTGCTTTGTTGTTCCATGCATTGTTCAAAAAGAATGAAACACCTACACAAGGCTTTCTAAGTTCTAACCGACAAGAAATTTGTCAAGAGATTTGGTTTTCATTTACAAAAGAATGACTTTGAGGCTTGAGGCCTGAAACTTTTGACGCCACACTTTTATAAACATTGAAAGTGCGAGAAGGCAAAGAAAAAGCACGCAAAATCAAAATAATCCAAAGTAACAATTTCCCCACCATCACGCGTGCATGTATAACTATAATCCAAATGCTGTCATAAAAAGTTATTTTTCTATCTTAAAAAAATAATAAGTTATTAATTATCGGTACCAATGTATTGAAATTTCATCATATATATAATATGGATGAGGTTAAAAAAATTCAAATTCATGCCGTCATTCACAAACCTGCTTTATAACACACTGTCATTAACGACCACTTTTACGTTAGTAGGAAAACTTAGGTTTCACTGATATATATTACTATATTAGCTACAATGTAAAACTGTTTTTCATATTGTGAAATAAACAAATTTTAGACAAATATACCTTGTGACTCCACAACACTATTTCCTACTGGAAAAGTGTCGTCATCTTTATCAAGCTTTCCCAGTGTTTCGTCCATTTTTGACACGTCATTGTTAGAAAGCAGACCTGTGTCGTCAATCAATTCTTCACCTATAAAATAGAGTAATTCTTTGTAGTAATTTTCTGTCAGCTCTGTAATACACATATCATTGAGATAAATTTAGAGAAAGGGGTACCAATTTCCCTGCAAAATACTATATACCAAAGCAAGAGCAGTTGTGATTAAGTGTAAAAGCTCTGTTAATGTATCTCGAATTGATCATGAAAAATCGGACTTTATTCTCAAGCATGATTATAGTCATGACAATTTTGGAGTACATACCTATGTTACTTGGCTTCACACCACAATATCTTAAAATCCACGCACACTAGTGGGTACATTAGGAAGTTTTTTCCAAATATTGCACATGCTGTTCGCAGAATGCCTTTCCATGCTGAGGCGACTCAGTGCATACATTGGGATAGTTCAGCAATGGAATACCTTTTACAAAATTCTGAAAACAATTTCATATAATATTATTAAGTTACGAAAAGCAAAGGAGTAATTTTATATAAAACTAAGATAAGTACCTTTCTACGCATCATGCAATGAGGAAACATTAATTTCCATATTCCATCGGCAACCCATAGCCTTCCACATCCTATAAGTTTGATTACGAAAATATCTTAGCCTGATGAGAATCACAGCTATTTTCCAATAGAATATATTTATAGCTTTTAAACTAATTTTAAAATACAATTGCATCTAACTTACCGCGCTCTTTGCAAGTATCAGAACAATCATCTGATGTATGCTCGTACAAACTTCTCGCCCTAATTTTGTCGATTTGTTCTAGAACCTAGAAGAGTCCCCATCTTCTTTAAGCAAACCAAAAAAGTCCAGTTGCCCCAATTCCCTCAACTCATTCTCCATCTCGCCGACCCAAAATGAAGCAGCAACTTGTTTCTCTCCAAAATCTTTATATAAAACGCAAATAATGCTTACCATCAAAAACTGTAACAACGTGATAACAGTAATACAGATCTACAACATATCGTTCTCTTACTGCCATTGTATACTTCATTAAACGCTTCAGAAAAACCGTTAAATGATACCCACGAATGACAACTATAGAAAACATGTTTCATTTGTAAAATCTACTTGCTATTTTAACATTAATTAATCAAGTGATTATATTGTAACTTACGCGAGTGACAGCTGCCACTGAAGCAAAGTTGAATCAACAAAACAGAGATCCGTAGCCTCGATCATTTTTCTTTGTTCGGGATATAACATCCAGCCATCTTTCCCATTACCGTACTTGGAATATCCATAAAGCAAATTACAGCGATTGCATCTAAGCGAAACTTTCACTCCATCGGTAGTTCCAGAAAGATCGTGTACCTGAACTTTACTGGCTTATTGTAGCTCACAAGATCATGGTTGCACTTAATACATTTGGAGCATGAAGGTGTAAATACATGCAACTTCCTATCGGTTGTACTAGGAACTTTTAATTTAGAAGCGGACTGTAAAAGAACATTTCCATCTTCTTCTTCTAAATTGGGACATACCAAAGCCAACACTTCTTTACGTACATTCACGGGGAGTACAAGCAAAGAAGACGCAACATTGGCAATAGAGCACACAAGTGACAACCCATATTTCAAAACAAGAACAAACAGAATTACATCAACATTTAGATCATTGCAGACTTTCAAATTAATAGATTCGATATCACTTAATATCCTCGACGCCACATATTCTTGATGTAGTTCCTCGTTGACATCTTTTCGCAAATCGTCAACCGATTGACAATTGTTACGCCTGCGCTTCGACATATTTTCAGCTTTTCCTAGTCAGAAATGATTTCGGCTTTCCCCAGTGATCCAGTGAGAAATGACTTTGGCTTTTCCCAGTCAGAAGTCATAGGAAATACTATTATTATGCATATTAAGCAATCTCGATTGCAATTGGCTAAGAACCTACCTACACTGCTATAGGTGACATATCATATAATTGTCCATGCAAAATTGTAAATAAAAAAGTATAATGGCAGACTCTTGCTCGATATTTGCAAGTGTTTTGCAAACTTTTTTCGCTCGAATTATTGAGTATTAAGACGTAAAAATAAACGGAATGTATTAAATTGTCAGTGAGGAGAGTTTTCATCGAGTATTTTTGGGAGAAAGACGAATGCGACACTGCGGACATTACGTCATTCGAGTGTGATAGTGTGATGTCGTGTGATGCATCACAATATTGCTAGCCAAAGTAGCAAAAAATATATCGCGCATCAGATGGCGTTGTGATGGATTGTGATACATTGTGATGGATTGTGATGCATTGTGATGGATTGTGATACATTGTGATGCATTGTGATGGATTGTGATACATTGTGATGCATTGTGATGGATTGTGATGGATTGTGATACATTGTGATGCATTGTGATGCATTGTGATGGATTGTGATGCATTGTGATGCATTGTGATGTAGTGTGATGTAGTGTGATGCATTGTGATACATTGTGATGGATTGTGATGCATTGTGATGGATTGTGATACATTGTGATGCATTGTGATGGATTGTGATGCATTGTGATACATTGTGATGCATTGTGATGTAGCGTGATACATTGTGATGTAGTGTGATGGATTGTGATACATTGTGATGCATTGTGATACATTGTGATGCATTGTGATGTAGTGTGATACATTGTGATGCATTGTGATACATTGTGATGCATTGTGATGTAGTGTGATACATTGTGATGTAGTGTGATGCATTGTGATGGATTGTGATACATTGTGATGCATTGTGATGTAGTGTGATACATTGTGATGGATTGTGATACATTGTGATGTAGTGTGATGCATTGTGATACATTGTGATACATTGTGATGCATTGTGATGTATTGTGATGGATTGTGATACATTGTGATGTAGTGTGATGCATTGTGATACATTGTGATGCATTGTGATGGATTGTGATACATTGTGATGCATTGTGATGGATTGTGATGGATTGTGATACATTTGATGCATTGTGATGCATTGTGATGCATTGTGATGCATTGTGATGGATTGTGATACATTGTGATGCATTGTGATGGATTGTGATGGATTGTGATACATTGTGATGCATTGTGATGCATTGTGATGCATTGTGATGGATTGTGATACATTGTGATGGATTGTGATGGATTGTGATACATTGTGATGCATTGTGATGCATTGTGATGCATTGTGATGGATTGTGATGCATTGTGATGCATTGTGATGTAGTGTGATGTAGTGTGATGCATTGTGATACATTGTGATGGATTGTGATGCATTGTGATGGATTGTGATACATTGTGATGCATTGTGATGGATTGTGATGCATTGTGATACATTGTGATGCATTGTGATGTAGTGTGATACATTGTGATGTAGTGTGATGGATTGTGATACATTGTGATGTAGTGTGATGCATTGTGATGCATTGTGATACATTGTGATGGATTGTGATACATTGTGATGTAGTGTGATACATTGTGATGCATTGTGATACATTGTGATACATTGTGATGCATTGTGATGTAGTGTGATACATTGTGATGTAGTGTGATGCATTGTGATGCATTGTGATGTAGTGTGATGCATTGTGATGTGGTGCGATGCATTGTGATCAGTGTCTGGGATTTATTAATATGTTCTGTGATGCATTGTGATAACAAACGATGACGAACGCTGTAGTGTGACGTTACGTAATGCATCACAAACTTTTATGCTGTTTGGCCAAAAAATATATCGTGCATGGTATAAAAATGAAGGTCTATAAATTTTTGTTACCTTAATTATTTTTGTGAAAGGTAGCAATACTTAACATCTTAACAATGAAAAAAAAGTAAAAATTATAATTTTATTTAACATACCTTAACTAAATTGCTGTATTTTGTTCGCGAACGACCAAATATGTACTCGACAACTCCGTCTTCCACAAACAACAAATTAAAAATAAACTTATCACGCGGCCATGTTGAAGAGCATACGAAATTCCATTGCTCAAAAAACCTTACGAAAACCGAGACCTCTTCGGTTGATGGTCGATTTATTTTCGGATTGTTCTCGTTAAATCCATGTTGAAGAGCATGCGAAATTCCATTGCTCAAAAAACCTTACGAAAACCGAGATCTCTTCGGTTGATGGTCGATTTATTTTCGGATTGTTCTCGTTAAATTCCTGTGCCATGAAATAAAGCAGGTCGAGCTGAGTCAGCAGAATATAGTAAAATGGTATGAAAATAGTAAAATGCCTTCTGAGCCGCCATATTTTATTTATAAGATGATTCTACAAGATGGATAGCAAAAATTAATGGTTAAAAAGTTGTCTGACCTGGTCACCAACATGGTTTTTCCTTAAATAGCAACATGACAACCATCAGCGTGCCTCTGTTACCATGGAGGTGCTCTCGCCATTAAATGTAAATTACCCTAAATTATCCATAACTACCTCATAATTACAAAGCACAAAGTCCGTGCGAAACCGGAAGTGGGATTGTCGAGCGGAGTAAAATTTAAATGAATGATGGTCGCATGTGACAAAAAAGTATAACAACCGATGACAACAGATGTTTACATGTTTTTTTAAGTAAATCTGACTCATGCTTAGAAAACAAGGGATATTTACGTGCGGTTAACAAAAGTCCACGGTTTGTTTTATTATGTACTTATGTTAATTTTTTTGTGGTTGAAAATTTACGATAGGACGTAAATTTATAGGTTGCTGAAGCTATTCTATATATCAAATCAGTGGTATCAAATTACTATTTCTTCTGTTTCCTTTCGTATTTGATCAAACAAAGGTTCGTATAGGACTATTTCTTACATATTGTTTATTTAATCGCTATTTGATTGCTTTATGGATCTCGTGGTTAACTTGAATTCTATCTTAACGTTTTAAGGTACTTAGCGAAACAAACCATAAGGCGTGTACTACACGATGACTCCGAATCACATAATTTATATTGTGGGCCTTTATCTGTCCTTCTTGTGGCCCGTATTTGCTGGAAATTCTACGAATGACACAGGAGGAAACAGCACACTGTACTCGAAGTTGAAAAATAAAACGGTTACACATTTCGACTCTTGCGAATGGAGTGATGTTAGACCGTCGTACTCAATTGCAAAATCGATTGTCGGTGGTTTTCTTATCATCGATGGCTGTGTTCTTTTTGTGCTTGGTAAGGAATATTGTGAATATTTTGAATATTTTGAGAATATCGACATTTTCAAAATTGTATTCATTGCATTCGCCAAATAGCTTGAAATTGCTCGCGATTTTCGAAAGATGAAACGCTCTGCCTTTGTTTAATTTAATTTTTCTTAGTTTTTCCATTTTTGTTTCAATTGAAGGGATTATTTTTTGTTTGTGGGAAGTTTACTTTAGATTTTATTCAATGAGAACTGAGGTAGCTTTCTACAAAGGCGACGCCGACCTGTTACCTGTTGATGTACTTAAAGTGTTAGGTATTTTCATTCCTGCGTTTTAACATGAATAATAAATCGACCACTGTCATAACTTTGGGAATTAACCTTTAAATAGACGAACGAACATCATCGATATTTGGTATTCAACGCGTTGATTGTGACATTTATATAACTTTCCTCCATTGTCGATACAGTATTCATTTGGTCCCATCCCGTTTTCAGTTGCACAAGCTTTATGGACAAGCGTTTTTATCCGTGGTCATACATTTGTAGATTAAAACTTATAGTTCATGATCAATACGTAATCTTATAGATTTTCAATAGTTACAAACACTAATTGCTAACTAATTTAAATGCTTTAAATATGTGTGCACAGCTAATTCAATGATTACGTTTCAACTTTTCAGGCTACAAGCAAGCCAGAACCTCCTTCTCGTTGATTGGCTTCTCTGTTGCGGCTCTGCTTGGGTATGCCATAGTTGACTACAAGTTTGATTTAAGTTTAGGAATTGAGATCCTAGTTGTTGGCTCAGCCGGTTTGTTTGGGTCAATACTGTCATCAAGTGTGATTTATTGTGGGATGTTCCTAACGGGGATTGGTACAGGATTTAGTCTTGGCTGTTTGGTCATCCTCATAGTTTCTGAAATTACTTCATTTGGCTCCTTTGCGGAACCTGTGTTGATTATTCTTCTAATGAGCATAATATTTGCAAGTTTATGCCTTTGGTGGAAGCGGACATTTATTATACTTGGAACCTCTATGATTGGTGGAACATTCATCGCTGGTGGTCTCGACTATTTTATTGAAGACTTGCTATTTGTTCAACACATACAACATATTATTTATGGAATGGAGTATCGAAAGCTTTGCTTCTTCTCGTGGATTGTGCTATCAATTTTTCCTGTTATTTCTATAGCAGGGGTTTTTATTCAGCATTTCAAGACAGCCAAGGGACACAAACCGAAAACATTGAACCACGAAGCTCTGGCAATGAATCGATTACCTCAAGTGTCACAACAACCGAGAGTCTCACCACATTCATCTGTGCTATGATAATTTTTATGGATTATGAACCAAGGGTGGTTAATTAGATTGTTTGAAACAACCATTTCAGTTGAATTCAAATAACCAGTTGGTTTGTATGATTGCACATTTCATTTTGGGTAACAACTTAACTGGTATACTATATAACTTCCCACGTTGAACTTTTTTCTGCCTATGGTGATGTCGTAGTTGTGGTTTGTTGTTGAAGAGATTAAGAGAAGCAACCTGAACTAAATGCATGAGATATTTTAAGTCTTGGATTTTTTGTAACAAAAGGCATGAGAGTCAGTTAGTACTGTAGGAGAGTCATAAAATGTTAAATAGTTCTACTAAAGAGTATTACTGATCAATGTATAAATTATTTTAAATTAATTTATGAAATGTTGGCGCATTTGTATATTGAATGCACATTGGAAGTTTCAATGAAGATATTAACTGTGATATAAAAGAATAAATTTCCAAAATGAAAGAATTCTCATTTGATGGCTGGATCCCAACCAACTAACTTGGCTTTGATCATCACTTCTTAACATGAAATCAACTAAAGTAATTCTCATTAAAAGGCCTACAGTAGAATTCTTTCCCAGTGGAAATGCTGAAGCCATATGGAACAACTTAAGTGTAAAGTATGCTTTTGAACATGGACATACAAAGTAATCTATTTTTGTGAGCCATTCACAAATTAACATGACTGGCCTTGTTTGTTCAAAAGTCTGTAGCCTAGCCTTACGTACAGTTGCTTTTGAAAAGAACATTAAATATGGGTCAATGATAAATGGTAGAGTTTTTAAAAAAACAGTTCCGAACAACAGACTTTTTCTCTAAGGACTGAAATGTACAATGCTTTTCAAAATATAATGAAGTTGCCCGCCACAAATTGAAGTTATTTTGGAAACAGTAACCTCACAAATCTATTTGCATGTCACAATTTTAAAATAGTACGTGCATTCCTCAGTGATAAAAATATTTGATTATAACTTTTATGTGTTTGTACCAGTGTGCGAATTAGCTCAGAAAAAACGATGTGCAATTTTTTTTGACAAAAGTGTTTCTTTAGAGGCATAATCAAAGTGATATTACGTTAATTATTATATAGCGCTAATTGTTAAATTAATATTTTTAAACGTGAACAAATTCATATGATTTACAACAGTGTTTTTCGTTAAAATTACTGATTTTTGCACATCGCTTGAAAAAGTGATGTGCAATTGTTTACATTTCAGCTAAAACGATGTGCAAATTGCACATTGCACACCGTTAATTCACACACTGGTTTGTACATATTGATTATTCAGGTTAGTGCAGTCTTGGAGAAAGATTGTTGGTGTTAGTGCTGATAGATTTTTCGACATTCTCAACTCCTAAGATTGCTACCGCCACGGTTATCAAAGTGTCAGTCAACACAAACACCGACAGTCCTTCTCAGGAATGTACTAACCTATGCAATATCTTCAAACATGTAACAATACCACATTTTTTAAAACCATTCACTACATAACTTTATTGTAAACATATTTATATATTTATACAAATGAAAAACATAATCGCTTATATGGAGTGGAAGACATTGCAATCTAAGTGCAAGAAAATATCTTTTTTGTAAACGGTTTTAGATCCTTTCTTCAAACAGACGGATTTTGAATGACTATTAGAAGATATTCCTTGTCTAGAAAAATTGAAGATAATGAAACGACTTCAAAAAATTTTCAACTATCTCAATGGATTTTTTTGATCTTTACAACTTTTCAATTTCATTCAACTTCAGTGAATTGTCAAATACATTCCTTACAAAGCTAATTTGATTGTTTCAAAGCAAAAGGCTACAATATAAATTGGACAATAAATAGAATAAAACCTCAGCTCAAAGATACCAAACTTATCACATAAAGGAAATACAACTATTTTTTAATTAGCACTCCTTGAGATAGTCACTTTCTGATAGACAATGGCAAATGTTTTTGCCGAAAACCCAGGGGAGTGGGAGATTTTCAACGCCCATAGCTTTGGTGACATGTATGAAAAGTTGGAGCAGAAATTGATTAAAAATAAAAAAAGTAATTGGGAATAAAATAAAGGGTGTATTTATCAAATACAAACACACTACAAAAGTCAGTCCAAGATTATAGAATAACCCTCATTTTTTTTTGGGCGGGGGTTTTAGAGTGGGGTGTGCATTTAACAAATAACAAGACTAAACATGTTGACTGTCCTAATTTTTTCTCCACATACCTGGAGCAACCATTATTTCATGCTTCTTGGAGCGAATTCTCAAAAATGTCAAATCATTCTGGAAAATCACACATATGTTAAACTGATTGGGTAGTATGTAGCCTGCATAAAAATTATTTAGCTAACCTGTGGGTCAATATCTCGGACTGTTCCCCTGGCTTTCGCAGTCAGTTGATGAATGAGACCAGAATATTGAACTGTAGTTGAGTTATCAAGGGTCGTACGAATTGGTATGCCTTCATTAAGAAAAAACACATTAAAAAACATTTGTCCACGACAAACTTTGTTCCGCTCATTTCATACACATAAAAAGCGATATACTAGAAGACATTATTTGGTAATACTAATGATTTTAACGATATAACGACGCACCTTCTTGATTCACAACGATGATACCGATCACTCCCTTGTGAGCTTGAATACGCTTCAAAGTTTCCTCGACTTCCGACTAAAAGAAACGCAAAAACGATAGAAACATAAGCGCCGATGATTTAAAAGAAGCTACAAATCATATTTAATGAGTTTAAGAAAATTCAAATCGTCTTTCTTACCATTTTTTTACCGTATTTCACAGATGACAAATTCACAAATCTTTGTTAAAATATTTCCAATGGCGTTGCCATGGTCGTGCTTCCATTTCACATTACTGAGCTTCACTTTCTGAATGTTCGAGCAAAAAATTCATGATTTTGGTCCATCATAAATTTTCTTGAATTTTAATGTACAATGTATTTTTTTCCAATTTTTTATTGTTTTATCAGAATGTTTTTTAGCATTTTGCGCTTTAGAGCGACATTTACATTTTATATTACCAACTTTTTCTGCTATTATCTTATTGCACACCAAAATATAATTTGATAAATTCATTTGAAAGTAAATCAAACGACTATGTTTACCCTGAAACGATAGCATAAATTTGATTGCCTAAAAGCTCATTTTTTTAAAAACCTTAACAAAAACCTTTAAATTTATAAATATCATATTTATAATTAAATCATAAAATGTTCTTACAAATGGAAGCACCTAACTCCAATGGTCCTTCTGGTCCTAAAACTCCCCGTGGTCTCAACGGTCCGAGAGAGATCATTGGCGAGTCTCAATTTTCTCTGATTGAATTTGAAATTCCATTGAGCATCTAAATATGTCCAGGAGTACGAGAAACGTATGTATTTTAGAAAAGGTTTTATTGTGAAAAAGCGTTGAAATTAAAGACATGATGTTAATCAATGACTTTCAAATGTTTTGGTGTTTACTCACAGTAAAAGGAATAGATCTTAAAGGAAGTTAATGATCTGTAATCAGTATTAGACGAACACACTTGTGGATGTGCTATGCTACTAGTAGAATCCATTGAAATGTTATTATTTGACCATACAGGTTTGGAGAAAGCTAAAGTATGGAATATTGACTTGTGGTGGTATTGCATCCGCAGTCTTGGTTTATGGCTCATTCACTGGTCATGAACTTCTTTATCGATCAATTTTAATGCCAGCAGTAGCATACATTGACCCTGAGAATGCTCACACACTGGCTGTGAAACTGGCCGCTCACAGCCTGGTACCTAAAGACAGAAGCATGCCTGATAAAGCTTTGGTACGAAACTGGTTGATTTGGGTTCCTCTATGACAATATTTTACATAAAGGATGTTCATTATAGGAGTCGAAATTGTTTGGCAAAATATTTCCAAATCCAATTGGTCTCGCCGCTGGTTTTGATAAACATGGTGAATGCATCGAAGGAATGTTCAAGATTGGCTTTGGTTTTGTTGAGATTGGGAGTATTACACCACTAGCACAACCAGGAAATGAGAGACCTCGTGTCTTCAGGTTAAAGCAGGATAAAGCTATCATTAATAGGTAGGTTATGCAGCAGTTATTTACTACTTCTAACTCGATATTTGAACATGTCGAGAGACCACATCTCTCTATTTGCATTGATAAAATGGCAGCCAGAGAACTAACCAGCATTGATAAAATGGCAGCCAGACAACTAACCAGCATTGATAAAATGGCAGCCAGACGAAGAACCGGCATATCTTCATTCAATAAAATTCGAGCTAGCGAAATCCTTTTTATTTCATTGCTATTGATGTTATTTCCTAAAAGCCCCTTTGAATTTTTGCTTTTTGTAAAAAGTTGGGCAGCCTGGGTGCTTCCTGGCATTTTCTCAAGGAAAATATTGAAGTGAAACTGATTGAACTGTTTTGTTCTTGCCAGTATCACAACCTGCTTAAAAACCTCAATGTTGAACATCTTTAGGTATGGTTTCAACAGCGTCGGTCACGATGTAGTGATCAATCGATTGACTAATGAAAAACGGCGCGTCAACCAAGGAGTCCTGGGCATTAATTTGGGCAAAAACAAGACGTCCACATGTGCTGCAGAAGATTATGTTTCTGGTGTCAAGAAATTTGCCCCTTTTGCTGACTACTTGACCATCAACGTGTCCTCGCCAAACACACCTGGTTTGAGGTCCTTACAAGGCAAGAAAGAACTAAGAAATTTATTAGAAAAGGTATCGTCTTAACATTTCTTAGCTGAATTAATGACGGAACATTTAAATGGATTATTGAAAATTTTTCATTTTCTTCTTAGGTTATAAAGGCACGAGATGAACTTACCCAAAGTCGTCCACCCATCTTGGTGAAAATTGCCGCTGACCTAACACCGCAGGCGAAGGAAGACATCGCTGACGTCATTACTAAAGCTCCCGTAAGTCCTGACCTTTACATTTTTCTGCTCTTAAAGGGATTTTTAGCAAAAATTGGTCGGGACCAAAGATTTTTATTTGAATTCTGTACGTCAGTTGAAAGAAAGCGGATGACAAAGTTTCAACTTTTCAGCTTCTACTCCTTGATAAATTCTCCTCATGTTGTTGTAGCGGAACGTCCATTTTATTTAGTACAAAGTAGACGGTGTAATCGTCTGCAACACGACTCTCCTCATGTTGTTGTAGCGGAACGTCCATTTTATTTAGTATAAAGTAGACGGTGTAATCGTCTGCAACACGACAACGTCTCGTCCTGAAGATCTGCGAAGCCAACACAAACACGAAACGGGTGGTCTTAGTGGCGAACCTTTGAAAAAACTTGCAACGCAAACCATTCGCGAGATGTATACGTTAACGAAAGGTATTCCTGTTCTTCTCCAATCATCAAAGTGAGAAATTCACTGGTTTTGCAAGAAACATTGATAGAATGGATTATTTCAGTGCAGGAAGAGATCAGACCAAGTCATTTTAAATGCGAGAGAGAAAAACATGTCTGTCATCCGTCAGTAAAATATACAAATAGAAAGCCAATACATCTTGTTTTCTTTCCATCTTAAGACTTAAGAGTTTCTATTCGAATGAATCAATGAAAGGTTTCTACTTGTTTCAGGTGAGCTTCCCATTATTGGAGTCGGTGGAGTATCGAACGGTCGAGACGCTTACGAGAAAATCCGAGCCGGTGCAAGTCTAGTGCAAATATATTCGGCGATAGCTTACGAGGGTTTCCCGATTGTGAAGAAAATCAAGCGAGAATTAGCTGAACTTTTGAGGTAAGATGTGAGTTGTTGGAATCTGGTGCGAGACTTTAAACTTTATCATTTGATTTTGTTCCTGAGAATAAAGTTCTTCCTTATTGTTAGTGCTTACTATTTTTAGTTCTTCCATAATGTATAAACATGTTCCTTCATGCTTTATTGGAAATAATTTCTTTCCAGGAATGATAATATCGGGTCTGTATCAGATGCAGTGGGTTTGGATGCCGGTGAATCTAACGAGAAGTTCTTATAGGGCTTGGGAAGATTGGAATTATTGTGATTGAATAGCTCAAAGAGGATTATCTCATTGGAAAAACGTTCTGCCTACCACATTGATTTTTCTTTTGCAAATGTCTCGTGTATCTCCATTTAAATCGTTCCTCGTAAATTCGCTCCACATTTGTAGCATAAGATCGAGTTACAATCATTCACAAGATTCTTGAGAATGTGATAATATTTTGAGTTTCCCGCCTTTTAAATTAAACTGGCTTCGTGCTAACGTACACGCTTGTGATTTCAGTGTTTGTTTTTGTGTTACTGTTTTTGTTAAAAAACTGTTCTCGTAACTTGCAAAACAGATTTTGGCCATCGGAAACGGCTGGAAAAAGTTAACGGTAGTTTGTCTATTTCGTATGTCTTGTTTTCCTTTTGAAGGATTCTCAATTTTGCTTCAACTTTTGAAAAGTCGAACTGAGTAGCGTAGCTTGACATTTTGAGCTGTGGGGGGGAGGGGTGATTCAAAGCGCAAAACTTACCGTCTTCCATAATATTGCCGTTTTCGTGACAGTTCGCACGGTCTAATTATTCAAATTATGACGTAAGCAGTGGGTGTTATTTGATATTGCCACAGCCGATAAAGCTGACAGCTTTTCATCATGTATTGCATTTCATCTTGCAAATTACAAAGCGTCAAAACACCGTTGCAATACGAATATTGAATCACATCAAGTGGTTAAGACTTGTTGCGTTATCCATGGATCGCTTTGTCGTGGTGAAGTTGTTGATTTTTATTGGTAAGCTATAAGCAGTTCAAAAAAATATTCAAGTCAGATGTGGGGTGAAGCAAACTTTGTTGGAGCTTTCGAACGCAATCAGAAATTCAAAAGTTAAAGTCAAGTGTAAAATAGCTTCCTTTTGCACTGTAGTATCGATTATCCACTTATGTCTAAAAACTTTAACATTATAGTAACTTTTCTATGTGCGTAGGTTCCCTTTGCTTGTAGTTCATGTTGTTAACTTGCACCACGGTAAGCGAAGACGTTTCTTGGGGGCTGTTTACTGACATATATCCCCGCTAACGATGTCGTTGTGACTTGTGACACGATGAATCATTTTGGGCGAATGGGAATGCTCCATTAGTTATTATTTGAGACATTCCCTGGAGCGCTTTTTATAAAATTTCATACAACATGATAATTAATAGCTATTATCACCCTTTAAAAATTAGTACTGGAACGATCAATGGTTTTCTTTCATTGTCACGTATCGACGAGCCTGACTAAATGGCCTCATTTCTGACATTGTCTAAAATTCACAAGCACTTTTGGACACTGTAAGCTAGCAGACTTTGCATACAAATGGTCTTGTCAACATCCGTTACAACGGATATTGAACTTGTGATTTCTGCATGAACCAATTTTTGACTATTCGCGATTTTTGTTGAGTTGTTCTACAAGACTATGATGGTTTTTTGTCGTAAAGTTATTTTCAACTATATTGTTCTATCGTAACATTGCAGTCAAACTGACGCTTAAATTCACTTTCAGCTTTTTTGTAAAATACTACTTCCGTGTTACTCCGTTAATTAATATCTTTTATTAAACAAAGCGATTATTTACTAACTACTTTAATCTCTTTGAAACTCCCAAGTTAGTATATGACGTTGCTCTTATGTTCATCGTTTATTCAAAGCAATTTAAAGGAAGGTTTGATGGTGCATCACATATTTTTACTATCTTTTGTATCTGAAAAGTTTTCCAACAAAGCGTCTTGATTGAGGCAACATCTTCACAATACAACGTCGCTTACGTCTTCGGCGGTGATGGTATTTATGTCATTGAACCGGAAACTAAAAGCTTGGTCACCAAAATAACCAACCTCACCTCTCCAGGACTTTGTACCAGAGGAAACAACCGCCGGTCAAGGTGGGTATTAAACTCGTACTTCGTACACAGTATAAAATTAACAGCTCAAATGGGTGTAGGACTTCCTTAAATCACATATCTATTTAACAAATAGAATATGCATGTCTCCTGTTTCTGTTTGTAGGAGCGAATGTTCTTTTAGTGGTGGGCAAGTCGTTGACGGTTCTGTCTACGTCTTGGATGCTTCCGGAAATGCTGTTCACGTGATTAATGTGACGACGCGACAAGTAATAGAAAGCATAAAAACCGATCCACAACCCTACGGTTTGTACTATCTGCCTTGGCGCAAGGAAATCTGGGTACATTCGTGGAATCTCTCTACATTTGACGTCATCAAGACAAACACCCGAAATCGTTCCCATCGTGCCATACGAGCTCACATTTCTCCAGGTGAGAGCAAATAGAAGTTTTAGAGGGTATGACGTATGAGCAAGCTGAAACTCTCTTTGTAGTCGTTGATCTACCGATTTAAAATTTTTCTTTTGATGTAAAATGTGTTTTTTATGTGTTCAACGTTACATTGAACATAATAAAACACTCAGAAATTACTTTCTGTATACAAAATGAATCAATGAGGTTGTGCAGTACGACTTAAGGCTCTTTACCACTCATCGCAAAACGTACTTGCAGCGAGCTTACCATGACTTGCAGCATAGTTAAATTAAATGAAGATATGATCTTCGCACTTTGTTGGACAATTTAAGCAATTGTCTCATGAACCTGAAAAAATCAGGTGACTCAACGGGATTCGAGCCCATGAAAAAATCCCATCCCGTTGAGTCACCTGATTTTTTCAGGTTCATGAGACAATTGCTTAAATTGTCCAACAAAGTGCGAAGATCATATCTTCATTTAATTTCAAACACCGCACCGCATAAAACATTCATAGTTAAATTAATTGAACAAAATTTTTTGAACGCGCGAACAGACTCGCAAGCTCGCAGCGAGAACATTTTGCGATGAGCGGAAAAGAGCTCTTAGTCTTAGAGTTAGGGTAGCAAAATTGTACGTAAAGTTACAACGTTTATTTATTTCGAAGTGACAAAAACGGGAACACGGTTCAAAATTCAGCTCATTAAATAAGAAAAGAATTGCAGATGAATAAGAGACGGGGCAAATTATAGACTTTATTTAATTTAATCATTAATGTTTTAGTATTTTAACCTGTCTGAGTACAATATGTCACTTAGGATGGACACATGGTCGAATGATTGCCGACAAAGCATTGTTGGAAGGTCAACGTGGCTACGTCACTCACTTCAGTAATCCGGGCATTCATAAGTTGAATTTGGAAGGAAAATCATACGCGGGCTTCGTGAATCTTACAACACATGGATGCACAGGCACATACAGTATTGCATATAACTTTTACAATGAACGTGTGTACGTCGACTGTCGATCTCGTTATCGCAGCGTTTCCACACTTGAAATCAACCCTTCCAATGACACTGTAACTCGAACCTTCAGGTTTCCTGGCTACTCCTATGTTTCGCCTAATGGCAGATTTCTCGTTACCACATATCGCAGTGGAAACATCAGTCGAATGAACATCCTCTCTTTTTCTGGATCAGATTTCCAGCATCACCCTCAACTCTTGATCCCCGGAGGCGTGTCACGTGCGGTTTTTTACCCCAAGAAAACAAATCCCGATACCTACTATGTATTTGTCACGCTTGATTACATAAACAAAATGGCGGTCGTCGATTTGGAGCTGGCCGGAAGAAATGATAGCAGCCGTTGGAAATATATCGATGACGTGGATCGTCTTGAGACAAGACGACACGGTGCTTCACGAAAATTGTTTATAAACGGAAAATGGATTATTTCCCCTGCATCGAAATCGAAGACTGTCGTCATCATTGATGCTGAGACCCAAAAGGTTCATGGGAAAATTGCAAACGTTAATGAAGGAGATTTGGCAGTCTGGGTCGATGATCCTAATCAGAGAGTTTCTGGGTCAGGTAGTCCTAAATCTTTCGTGGCGATGATTTGGTTTTGCATACTCTACAGATTTTTGTTTTAAAAAGTGGACATGTCACAATGCCATTTTTGACGTCTGTCGTGTTTGGTAAAACACGACAACTTACATAATTAAAATATTAGATATAATAGTCGATATATGCAATAATTAAATTATCTAGACATGTTAAGTGTACTGGTGTTCTCCGTTTCTTAAATGATGAATGTAGACAAATTTGAAATCCATCGTGCACGATTTTAATTATTCTTTTAACTTTGCCATGCAGTAGGTGCATTTCAGCTATTCTCCCAAAAATTCAAAGCAAAAAGAGATATTCGCCATGTTGGTTGAAATTTGAATTGTGAAAAAAGAAAATTGCTTTGTCAAATTCAACCAACATGGCGGCTGTGACGAGCTATACAAGAAATTCGAAAGCAATATGCGGCATTTGGGAGCAATACAGAACACGTAAAGCAATACAAGCATTGCAATGCAGGACATGTAGGAGCAATGCAGGACATGCGGGAGCAATCGAAGACATATGAGAATATTAAAAACATACCGTATTCCAATAAAGATCAAAATCGTTCCTCGTAAATTTGCTCCATATTCGTAACATAAGATCGAGTTACAATCATTGACAAGATTCTTGAGAATGGGATGATGCCTGGCGTTTTCCACCGCTTTGATTAAACTGGCTTCCTTCAAACGGACTGGCTTGTAATTTTAGTGTCTGTTTTTGTTTTACTGTTTTTATTAAATAATTTGCAAAAGAGGTTTTGGCCATCAAAATTGCTTGGGAAAAGTTAATATCATTTTTTTATCTATTTTGTATATGTTGTCTTTCCTGGTTTTCCTCGTGAAGATTCTCACTTCGCTTGAAATTTTTGAAAAGTTTCCTTACCACTAGAACGTAAAGTTGAATATTCATATATTCGGCTCTGTCCTGCTGATTTCTTTTGAAGGTGAATTAAATTTCAAAAGAAATCAGTAGGGCACAACTGAATATATGAATATACACCCCAATTAACGTTCTAGTTACGCCTCTGGAAGCAATACAGGACATTTGGAGACATTAAAGGACATGTGGGAGCAATAAAGGCATGTGAATAGTGTTGCTCCCACATGTCCTGTATGTGAGTAGATGAAGATCGTCAATGTTATGAAGTCCTGAGAACTTGGAAAACTTTTGAAACTGTTTAAAATGTACATTTGGTTTATATATAATCATGTTTTATATCCATGTTCAATGTTAACATCATTTATTCAACTTTTATATAAGGTTTAAGTGAATTGAATTGCTCCTGACCGTATTCATAATTTGGAAAGTACGCCGATATCAATGTCTTATGTTCATGTCAATATATGTTTCTATTTTTCAATTTCTATTTCTCTCTCATGTATTGCTCTCGCCTGTACTTTATTGCTCCTACATGTCCTGTATGTGAGTAGATGAAGATCGTCAAGGTTATGTAGTCCTGAGAAGGACTGTTGATGTTGACTGATGTTACCACAACCTTAGCGGTAGTTATCTTGATTATGAAGATGATTACCGCTAAAGTTCTCTATAATATGTCAGTCAACATCAATACTAACAGTCCATCTAAGGACTCTACTAGCCTAAACTATCAATATCCACCAACATACAGGACATGTAAAAAAATAGAGCAATACAGGACATGTGAGAGAAATAGAAGTTGAAACAATAGAAACATATATTGACATGAACATAAGACATTGATATTACTTTCAAATTATGAATACGGTCTCAATCACTTAAATATAAAGTTGAAGAAATGATGTCAACATTGAACATTGATATAAAACATGATTATATAAAAACCAAATGTACATTTTAGACAGTTTCAAAAGTTTTCCAAGTTCATGAATTTGGAGGTCTTGCGTACGTCTCATTCTTACGTTGTATTATGTATGTCAGTAACATGCACAAAACCAATGTTTTGCCGTGAGTATATATGTTTTGCCGTGAGTATATATGTTTTGCCGTGAGTATATATGTTTTGCCGTGAGTATATATGTTTTGCCGTGAGTATATATGTTTTGCCGTGAGTATTAACTTTGTGACGTAGTTACTAATGTTTTAGATTTGTAATTGAAATATTTTGCCATGGCGGATATAGGCCACCGTACGTATTGGCCATCTACACATAAGCCTTTGAACGAAATTTTGAAGAATTATGGTATTCAAATTTTAAACAGAGACCGGTTGGTATAGCAAATAACAAGATTACTTTATTTTGTTGGTTATGTCGGTATAATTTTTGCTCATTTAGTATGTAGCTCAAGTAAGAAAGACATCCTTGCCCCAAGTTGGTATAAATGTGAGTGCTCGGAAACAATCTTTCGTCAAACTGAATTGAGTAGTGGTTGCTTGGGAGAGAAAAAGTGTAAAGACAATATGTCTCCCAGGTCCGTTTTAACAACTTTCAAAATTTTTAATTGGCTTAACTTCGACTTTGTCATTGTCTGTTTCTTCAGCTTTCCATCCAATGAAGACGTCCATCGACATTCACTCATTACAAGAGCTAGCGTGTTGCCTGTTGTATCATAAATATGTGTAGAACAAATTAATTTCATGTTCCTGAGCATTTTCTGTTATAGCAGGAAGTAATAGTACAGGTAGCTATTTGTAAAGTCATTGTTTTTTGTAAAAAATTGTCCGAAATCTTAGTCCCATTTACAGAAATCGCATGCAATGTAAGAGAAGACAGCAATTTTGCATCAAACAACAATGATTATTGACAATGAAAGTGAAACTAAAATGAGACACAAAGACTATAGCAACTATGAAATAAATATATCACTCATGCAAATCGACAACTTTTCTAAAAGTGACTACTGCAAAGAATGTCGAAACGTCAGTCAATACGAGCACCAACAGTCAACGACTGGATATACATCTACAAAGATGTAAGATTTAAGTCAATTGCAGTTTGCAAAGGCCATAGCAGTTGAACAACTGCTTACTTTTTATCAAACACTATTTAAATTTGTGTACCTTGAATAAATATTTATTTTTCTTAATGCAAAGTCGCCATGCTAAAGCATATTCTATGTATCTAATAATCCATGAGTGGATTCTGAAAAAAACAGCAAGGAAACAAATTTGATAACATGCAAGTCGCGCAAAAAATAACGCCTGAGAAGAAACAAAGAAGCTTTGAGCCATGAGAGATAGCTAATAAAAGCCATCTGTCAAGGGCGTTGAACTCTATGAATAACAGTTGAATAGTTACGAACTATTTTATAATCCTGCCATTTTTCCGCATTAGTTTTCTTTCGTAACGCAAACTTATCTACTTATCTTTAAGTTTTGTTGTTCTTGTTAACGATTCTCCAATACATTTGAGAAAGCTTCAAACTCATACAGCAACGAATCATCTAAGATTTGTCTTTATACAATGTAACGGATGCAATGTGGTTGTTCTGCATAATCTAAATGAAAAAAAAATGACAAGGGACAATCATTCTGTAAACTTTGTAAACAATCATTATCCAAAGCCTCAACAAATATTGAAGTTGCATGTCTGGGTATGGTTAGAAAGACTGGAATATGGAAACTGGAATCTAATTTGACTATAGATACGAAGAAATTTTCTATACAACTGCGGTCTACATGGCAACTACCGCAAAGCAACTTCTTCAACTAATAAGTATTAACAAATAAAAACGCAATAGTTGTCGCGGTTGAATTTCAATTTTAGCACCAAAGGACTTTAGTTAATCTGCAGGGCTTTCGCGTGCATTTAATCACTAAGTAATCTAAGTATCATGGTCTTACTTTGTAATACTATGATTGCCAAAACGTTCTAGAGCTTCAAACACTATCATGGTCTTACTTTGTAATACTATGATTGTCAAAACGTTCTAGTGCTTCACACATTGTCAAAGATGTTGTAAATTACTTGTTTTTGTGAATACTTTGAGATGATTTTTGGAATTTTTGTAATACAACCAGTAACAGACGATGTGCAAGGTCGTATTACTTGTAATGTAAAATTATAAATATGACCTTCGGTCATGTCACGCAAATATGACCAATAATGCATTATGAATCGTCACATTTCCACTTTGCGTCACATTTCTTGTATTATTCTCTTAAGCAAGATATAAACGATGTTTGCGAAACTGGCATTTGTATGATATATCGAGCAGAGTATTGAGCTATCAAGTTTTATGTATTTTTATGTAGCTAAGACAGAAAAAACAGGATCATACGTGCAAAAGAAACGATGTCAATACTCATTGAAAATCAAATTGCTTGTCCAATCCTGACGTAGAGATAAATGATATTGATTTGATTGACGGCTCGTAATGCACGTGATCTAGTTTTTTGCAGTATTACATTACTTATATAAAAGACACATGCAACATAAAGTTCAGATGGTTATTTTTGTACTGTGCATAAAGTTATAGCTACAACTAATACTTCACCAAAATTTGAGACTCAAAAGATACATATTTTTGAAGATATGGAGGTTTAAAGTTGATGCTTTACTGATAACGTATTGAAAATGCCCGACGAGCAAACGACGGCTACCGATTGGAAAAAGGTCGTTGTGACGTAATTGATGACTTTAGCTAAACGCGGTCAATTGCGCGCTTCGTTCAAAATATATTGGTAACTTCTTTGCCTGCATTAACAACACGATAATCTAGCATTGAAAATTTGGTTGATTGTGCCGCATTTAATTGTAAAAACGGTTCTTCTAAGAACCACCAAACGCAGCAAAAGGTTTCTTCTTTTTTTTCGTTTCCCGAAAACAAGCGCATGCGAGATATTTTGATTGAGAAAAATCCGACGCAAAAATTGAAAGCCAACAAAGAGCTCAAAATTGTGCTCGCAACATTTCGAGAGTTCGTGCTTCGTGCAATATTTTGAAGCGTTGCAATCAGTAGGATGGACAGCAGGACGGCTTCGCCTTAAGAAGGATGCTGTACCCACGATTTTTGAATACTCTGTGGAACCCACAAGTGTAATATCTAAAAGGAAGCAGCCAACAAATGTTAGAACTGCATTTGAGAAGAGACGAAGGCAAGAGCCAAGAGGTGAATATTATAGTTATAGTTAGCAATATTTGTTTACATTTATCAAAAACTAAGCTATATAGCATTACCAAATTGAAGACAATTCTATAATTTTAGATTATTAACGACGTTCTTGCAGAACATGACGACTTTCTTGTAGACAACGACCACGATGTGTCGACATCGGCTCGAAATGTTTGTGCGTTTTACCTCAAAGGAAGTTTGTCTAAGATAAAAGATGTCAAAATATATGTAGACAGCGAAACACAAACAAATACAGTGGTAACTAATTCAGACTAATGTCGTTTAATCTTTTCTTTGTTATTTTAACTCGTAGAAAATTCCTTATACCTTAGAAGCACAATGTGAAATGGTAAGCAGACATAACAATCCGTCCGCAAAAACACGTGAGGTCAAGAACCACTCAAACAAAACTTACAAAAGTGCCAAATATGATAAGTAGAGGTATAGACTTTCCATTTCGGCCGTTTTGATTTTTGTGAAAAATCCAGCAATACGATAATTTTATGCTAAGGTACGGAGGTTGAGTTCATTTCAACAAAAAATCACAGCACACAGACGACTTCATGTGAAATTGAACATTTTGAGGATAGCGCTGTATGGTGTGATACAGAAAGCACGTCGACGATGAGCAATAGCTACAATGGATCAGACTCTCAATGTTCAAATGAGTTAAGCGAAAATGAAGAATCCGACAATGACAATGCAACGTTAGTACCAACTATCCAGTCACCTGACTATTCTTTACATTGCTTTTCTCTGTTATGTTTCTCAGAACGTTACGTTTATCCCTCTGATTCTGATGGTAATTTTTATGTTATAGGGAAGATGTTCAAAATGAGAGAAAATACATAGTGTTTGATAGTTGCCTGAGACAGTTAGTGAGTCAATGCCCATGTTGTGGTGAAAGTTGTTCCATTGTGACCAAAACGACTGGTAGTATGGTTAACGTACTTGCAAAATGTCATTGTGGTTATGTTCGAAACTGGAATAGCCAACCTCTGCATGGGCGAATGCCTTTGGGTAACTTGGTCTTTGCTGCAAGCATCTTTTTTAGTGGTAGTAGCCCCAGCAAAGTTCTTCAATTCCTTTGTCACTCAAGCATACAATTTCTGTCAGAGCATGCATATAGCTATATTCAAACAGCGTATTTGATACCCATGCTGTGCTTCAAATGTTTCGCATATGCACCAAGAGCATCTAGAATCAATCAGAGAAAGGTGTTAGGAATGACGATACATTATATGTGTATTAAACTAAGTATAAGATATCTGATCATAGTACTAGTCACATGATCTGGTAAGCACTTCTTATTGTATGCTAATTGCTATTTTCTGTTCTGCTCGATACCGCATGGTTTAGGACAATGCTCATTATGTAACTTAAATAATTAAATATATGTTGTTTTGTTTCTGCTTTAATAATAAATTAACAAAAGAAACATTAACCTTGGAAGAAATGGAAGATGTGATTTCCTGGATATTGTGCCAAGTATGGGTCATATGGCTGCATGGATTTGGAATCTAACAACATTTTAGACACACAACTTGTTCAGGTAACAATTCTTCAACAAATGTACATAAAACATGGTTAGAATACTCACATAATTATGTTAAACAGTCCAATGAAGTGACCAACTCTGGAGCAATGGAACTTGAGGAATTAAAAAGATGTCTGGCAAAGTTTGATGAAAGTGGGATGAAGGTTAAGTCAATGACCACAGACAGACATGCTCAAATCAAATCCTACATGTCAAAACAAAGACCAAAAATCGAGCACTACTTTGATGTATGGCATGTAGCAAAAGGTATAGATTGTAATAACAAACCAACCTTTTACACATTTCATCAATAATCAAAATCCAACAGGAATTAAAAAGAACATTTGGGCAGCATCAAAAAAAAGTGGTTGCAAATTATTGTCAGATTGGGCCCAATCAATTTCCAACCATGTATACTGGTGTGCTGCTTCCAGCAATGGTGATGAAGAACTTGTCAAGGCAAAGTGGTTGTCAGTTCTCAACCATATATGTGACATCCATGAGGGACATAGTGATGTATTCCCAAAATGTGAATATGATATGTTAGAGCCTAGAATGTGGATAAAAAGGTATTGTAAGCAATAAATTTCAAAGTAACATCAACATTCTTTTTTGTTAACTAACTTCTGATCTTAGGTTCAAAAGCTTATGTTGAGCTGTCTTCGATTGTTGAGTCCAAGTATCTCATGACAGATAATGGAAAACTCAGTTATCAAAAGCAGACTTCATCCATCAAAGGTTTCCACCGAGTGGTAATTCTTTTTGCACCAAAACATACTTAATTTTTTCTACAGATCAATGTAAGCAAGGTAATATAAAAATGATTTGTGTATGATTACTTAAAAAAAGTCATCATTGCAAAAGCAATAAGTTGCAATAGTTGTAAACATAAACTTAACATTCATTTGTAGATTGTTTATTGCTGCTCTTCATTTCAATGAGAATGGAAACAAAGCTCATAAAATGAAGAATGATGGGGAAACAGAAGAGGAATTGATTTGGAGAGTGGCTTATTCAAATTCAAAAGAAGGGCAAGGGGATATCAAACCAGTGAAAATTGACAGCACTTATGGTTAGCACAGAAAAATAAACTTACCTTTTCTCAAAGTGCAATGCAAAGCCAACATAAATAATGATTTGCTTTTCAGGATATGTTAAGGACTTGATGAAAGAAGTTTTGTACTGCAGACGCATTAATCCAACACTGTCCGAAGCTCTTCATGTCTGGAGTGAAAGAAATACCTGTCCCATTGACTTGCCACAAATCAAAATCAGCAAAGCTGAAGCCATTAAGCAACATAAATGTCGCTTCTATATATAAAAGATAATAGAAATAGCGTTCCACATGAAATAAACATAATTACAAATGAACAGACTTTGTCATACGCCATAAGCCCTACCATTCAGTAGTGTTGAGCATATTCAAATCCTTTGTATTCTCCAGAAGGCGAAGGAAATGCTTTCCGGATTTTGTCTCCAGCACAAGAAGGTATGGGTAGTCTGTACTTTTTTCCCAACTTGCCATGCACCCAAGCCGTCCACTGTCGGTACAACGTGTAGCGTTATGTTTCTTGAAAGATACAAAATTTTGTCTAAGATACTTATCGGCATTATACACTTCTCGACATACACGTAATTATACTTCTAAGGTAATATTTACTCGTTTTCTTCACTCTCAGGTATAGGTCCAATGTCATGTGTGTACACGACCATAGATGTTTTTATGACAGCTTCGTTTGTACACACTGTGGCAAACTCTTCCTCTTGTGTGATGCAAATATGATCGCCATGTATCAGAGGATCAGTGTTGCTTACCTCTTGGCAACATATATACTTTCCCGTCCTGTACTCATGACCACACAAAAGCCACACTCGCACCTAAAAGATAAAAACATTCTTTTTACTCTGGGAAAAACAATGAAGCATCCATAAAATGCAACTAACCATTCAACATTTCCAAATCTGTGAATGTATTCATCTTCCGATGACGGAGAATTGTCATTACTATGACCACCTTGCGCGTTGGCCAAAGGCTCAAACATGCAAGGTTGTACCTCATTGTTATTGATGAAAATATCATAATCGGCTTATTCAAAAGAAGAATCCATTAATTTTTGTTAAATAAAAAATAAATAACTAGCAAACTACCTTAATAGCAAACTACCGAAAGTTGTGCTAGTCGTAAAACGATAGCTTGTTTATGTCAACTATTACGTCACTCATTCCCAGTTCACAGACTTCAACAATCTCACGGCGTTTTAGCAATGGTCATCGAACATCGTGTTTTTATCGATTATAACCCTAAATATCTTTTGAAATATTTTGCGGACGACTTTGAAACTTGGTACGTTTTATTTTCACGCCGTAGGCATTACAATAAAATAAAGTTGTCTTCTATCTTGCATGTGTCCTTTAATGTAGAATATTTCAGAATGTTTTCCTCAAAAGCAAAAGTTGTAATATAATTTTTCTATCGTCTTTAGCTGTTGTATAAGAATATATGGAGAAATTGCGATGACTCAGAACTTTTGTTTTTTTTTACTACTGTAACGTCATCAAACACGACATGCGCAGAACGCGTTGTAAATGTAAAATATGGGATAGCCCATTGAGTCTAATAGAACTCAATTGATAGCCCTATATCAAAATTTGTCTTTTGAGGCAAGGTAAGACCATAAGAAAGTTTTACCTTTGTATCATTCAAGTGAAAAATTTTCTCATTAACAGCTGTACTACAATTTTGATATTAAATTGTGTAGGAAGACGTATGAAATGGCTTGTCGTCCTAATGTTTACGAAAGTGGATACGAAGAATCGAGATTTAAGACTGCTGTTGATGAAAATTTTTACTGTTCCATTTGTCTGAATGTCATGAAAGATGCCAGAATGTGCCATAATCAACACAGTTTTTGTCGTGAATGTATTGAAGAACATCTACGAGTTAATGTACAAAGATGTCCTCAATGTCAAGATGATTTAACTGTAGCTACGCTTCATCCAGCGCGTGTTATAAATAATATGATTTCAAAGTTAAAGATCAACTGCGACTACGCCAGTCGTGGTTGTCCTGAATTTATAAATGTCGAAGATCTTGAAAGACATGTTGAAAATTGTGGCTTTGCTCCAGTGTTGTGTTCTAATGAACGTTGTGGTCTGGAAATAAACAAACGAGACAAGATTAAACATGAAACTGAATTATGTGAATACAGAAAGATTGCTTCTCACGACTTTCGAGAGATTAGCGAAATGTTTCAACGAAGTTTTGAAGACAAAATGGAAATGGAAATGCAAATGAACAACTTAAGCAGGAAAATAGACGAAAAATTTTTTGAAGTAAAAGATTCCGTGAAACCATTGACATCTCAGTATAAAGAAATGATGGAATCTGTAGTAGAAAATGTTGAACAAAATCTTTCTACAGTGACCAAAGAAATGATGGAATCAAGGAAAGAAATAAAAGATGTTCAACAAAACCTTTCTGCAGTGACCAAAGAAATGAAAGAAATGAAAACCATGATGTTTCAAATGTTGGAAAAGATGAATATAAATGAACAACATGTTCAAACATTGACATCATCAATTGAAATGGTCATGAACTCTGTAAAATGTGATATTTTGATTGCTGGAGGTAACTTAGGTGATTCCTCAAAGAGTGCTGAAATATTTTCATGGAAGGAGGAGAAATGGTTTAATATTGCATCAAGGGAAAATGAACACAGGTGGCCTTCATCGTTTATTTATAATGATAATTTATTTGTTGTTGGAGGAATGGACTGCAAGTCAATGGAGACATTGAATATAAAACAGTTTCCTTTGACATGGAGAAAATTTCCCACAAAGCTTCCTTATGACTGTGAGGGTCATCAAACTGTTGTTTATAAACAACAAATCTTTCTCATTGGAGGATACATTGGTGGTAAAGGAAAATCAGATTTGATCAGTGAAATAAAAATCACTGGTACAACATCTCATGCTGTGAAAGAGTTGTGTCATATGCCTGAACCACGTTATGGCCATGGAGCTGTTGTTGTTGATGATAAAGTTCTTATTTTTGGAGGAGAGGGAAAAGATAGGAAAGTTTTGTCCAGTGTTTTGGAATTTGATCCAAGGACTCTTACATTCAAGGAAATGCCTCCATTACCTCATCCATTAACTGACATGGCAACAGTTCAATGGAGAGATCAATTTGTTCTTCTTGGAGGTGATGATGGAAGAGAAAGGTTGAACAGTGTTATCATGTATGAAACTAAGACAGGTAAGATTACAGTCTTACCATCCATGTTGGAAAAGAGATATGAGTGTTGTGCAGTTATATCAGATGATACAATTGTTGTCATGGGAGGTTCGAATGATAAAGGTGATATTCTTAATTCAGTGGAGTGTTTCAAAATGGGATGTAGTTCTTCATGGAAATATCTTCCTTCAATGAACGAGCTACGACACTTCTCCATAGCCGAAGTTTTACCTTTTGGACAAAAGTATGTATAAGTAAGAAAACGTGCATCAAACGTTATAACTTACTAAAAATTCTTGTAGCTTACACTGGATGATAAATATGTAAAGTTAAATGTGTAAACCTTTAAAGCCTGTTGAGAAATTATTTCTCCACTGATTCACCGTAATGATATATACTGTATATTGCAAGTTGTATCATAAAATACTATATACAGCACATGTCTATCACAAACTTTGGTCACCAATTAAGAATTATATATTTACATGTTATTTATATAAATGGCATTTTCAAATATATTACATGGCTTTGCTCACATCATTATTAAATTATGCGTTGAATTTGTTTGGACTATTTCCCATGAAATATACAAAAGCAATTTGCTTAGAGACTATTTACATGGAGGTACGGTAACCCCAGCAGAAGGGTTATCCTAGAAAGCGAGTCACCCTACGTGAATATGTTTTATAAGTAGCGTTCACACATGCGCACTAGGGGCACCTACTAGTGGTAGGTTTACCCTAATAACACCAACATTCAATCACTTCTTAAGACTACACCAAACTGGATATCAATTTTCGTTAGTACTGCCATTATTATTATACGCAACAAAATTTAAAACGTGACATACTTTATATGCATGGTAAAATTACAAGAATGAGGAAACTGCACCATTAGCTGTTGGTGTACTGTACTTTGACCATCTACGACGTGTATACTCGTACGAAAGCACGTGATAAGTTTCTTGCTATTTACTGGCTAAAATGACATAAATATGACAAATTGTTATTGCACCTTCAGATTGAAAATTTTGCCACCTTTCCAGTTTCCTCTCAGACAACAAAATAACGAGGAAATTTTATGTCTGAGAACTTTGTATTCTTGAGAGGAACGTGACGTCATCAATAATACAGTCGCCATGTTTAGGGTTTGTAACCTGGTTTTTGTACGGCAAAAAAGTACATTTTGGCTTTCATTATTTTGTTTTGCGTTTTGGCTACATTTGATATTTTTCATTTCAATGGACTGTAATTTTTCTGTCATTTAAACCATTATAAGATAGTGGGACAGTCACAGTGATTTGTGCTACACAGTGAAATTTAATATTCCTCGGACGAAAAGATTATAACACACAAATATACCAGCAAAATGTCCCTCAGTTTAGCAAGTTAATATTTAAATAATGAACAGTTATTAGATGAAGTTGAGCATGATATCTAGAATTATTCAGACCGAGGTCAATGTCATCTGCCGAAGCAAAGCTGGGACGGATAACGTTGACAGAGGTATGAATAATTGTTGATATCATGCGAAAACGAATTGAATAATTGTTTTATCATTCACCTCAACAAACTGAAATATTATTTACACTCATCAATGTAAAACATTTCGAAACCTGCCCTTAGTTGTAATTGTCAAACGGTTTTTTCGAGTTCTTCTTGTTTAAATATGCTGTAAATATGTTCGAAACCAGCTTCGTCGCTTTTTTAGTGTTTTCTGCATCAATTTTGTTCGAAATCTTTCGCTTATTGTTTTAGAAACTGTGGTAAACATCACTTTATTTGATTTTTTTCAAATTCGGCTTTTAATGGCGTCAGTCAATAATGGTAGAAAAAATTTTTCGTAGTAATGACGTCATATCTACAGATATCTAGAATTAGAACACAGCCAAAGTCACTCGGCCAATCAGCGTCCAGTATTTTGATGTTCCATATGGCATAGTGGCTAAAGTTCAAGAAGTGATGTAAGCTTTAAAGCTCAAGGAAAACGCCGAGATAGAGTGAAAACAATGGAATACAATTAAAGCTTAATGGTATTCACTAAATCTCTATTTTAATCCCTATATAGAGAATACTAACAAGATATTGTTTTTTATTGTTCACTTCCTTATTAGTATTCTCTAAATAGAAAACATTAATGAGGTTAAAGGATACTAATGACTGTCGTAACTCCACATTACATTTCATCTCTGAATAACTAACAAGGTGATGAAATTTAACGCGTTTCTAACGCATCTCGATGATGTAAATATATTCATGTTAAAATTAAAATATCCCTTACGAAAAAATTGGAAAAACTAATAATTGCTCACAAAGTTAAAAGCAAACACATGTGTATTACATAAAATGAAACAACATACGTGTTTTCCCATGTTCAATAACTTTTAAAGTACGTCGTGTATTTGTCGTACTAACACATGCTTCTTTCTTCTTATCTACCTCAATTTTCTTTGGACTTGAAACATCCACTGGAGCAGGTTGTTGAAGTGCTTTTAAAACTGACATAACCAGAGTAGAACTTGGCCTTTGCATCATCTAACAATGATGTGCTTCGATAATCAGTCCGAGACATTATTGTTTGTTCATCAATGAAAATGTTCCTTTCTTAGAGGGTTGTTGGGCACGTAACCTTTCCAAAATCATTTGAAAATCCTCAACCTTTCATGTCAATGTAATCTACCTCGCACATTGCTGGTAAATATTTATAGAACGTGTTAAAATTAACAGGTTGTGAGTTATACCAATCCAATGTCCCCCTGGCTTATAACTTTCGAGAGGTTTTGAACTAAAACCTGCCTTTACATGGAACACATCTCAAATACTCGTTGAAAACAATCATCAGCTGTAAACTAAAGATACTTGTATAAGAATACAGCATCTTAAATTCAGTACCATAAGTAATCCCTTCTGGCTTTGGCCATGCATTGTTCTAAGACGGTGCCCGAGTGAAGTGAAATTTTATCTAATGCGAGGGTCTCTCAATCCCATAGAGCACACATGATCGTGCTCTACCCTTACTAATTTGCAGGTAGTTGACCAAATCACTAGCAGTTAGTCATCTAAAATATTTCAAAATTCAAATTCCATGTAGGTTGGTATGAAGAAATGTCTAGTACTTATATGCTCCAATGATTAGGTACGGTGTCTAAAATTTTAGAATTCCCGTGTGTATGAGAGTCTTTGTACTTCTGTCATACAACGGCGGTCTTTCATCAAACATTATAAAATAAACACAATGAAACACGTGTGCTGATTGGTCTAGAGCTGTGTTTGCATTAGCCTGTGCAAAACACGTCTAAGCTCTACCAATCAAATCAATCATAACAATCAACCAGTCAATGAGAATTTGCAAATAGATCATGAATACATTTTAGAGGAAAAATTAAAATGTTCGTCTGTTTCGCAATATTGTTATTTTATAAAGAAATAAAAGATATTTTCCGTGTTTACACTGACTTGTGCAAACCTAGAAGACGTTTGTAAGAACTCTCGAGCATGTGCAACTCTCGATCTTCGGTCTCGGGCTTGCACTGATCTGCTCTCAAGTTCTCCCAAACGAATCTTCGGTTTGCATAAGCCTGTGCAAGCACAGTAAACATCTTTTATTTCTTAAATAAAACACAATTCATACTAGGAATCAAAAAGGTAGCCACTAAAATGAAATCACTAACCTTACCACCTGTTAATACTATGATGCCCTTCGAGCATTGTTGTCCAAGGGCGCAACATCATTGGTCAGCGGTGATCCAGTCATGGGTATCACTCTAAGTAGGAACGGATAATGAAAATGAGTAATGTGGATAAAGGACGTGGTGAGGGTGATTGGGGATTACGGTAATGATGGTTTGGGATAAAAATGATGGTGAGGGTTAATGTGTGATAAAGATAATGGTGGTGAGGGTGATTGTGGCTATGTGAGTTTTGGATAAGAACAAGACTTTACGTAATATGAATGACAAACCTCTCCCCAGGTTTTGGAGCTCTCATACTTTTAACACGAACAATTCAGCGAAGTTTTGTAAAGTTTCATAGCGAAATAACGACACAGATTGTAGTAGAAGTTTTGTTGGCTCATATTTCAAAATCTATAAATAAAACTTTCTATTTGATCCATACTTACGTTCTCTGATATTACGATATTTACATAAAGTATGAAGAAGAATTTTGCAATTGGGATATCAAGAACAAGTATGCGGGTTATGGGGTGACTGGGGAGCAGGCTTTACTAATTTAATTATTTTAATATCTTCAACTACTTCATAATCTTTATAGTGTACTTTTAGCTAAAAAACCAACTATGACAACAGATCGTTTTTGATATCTTTATTTTACTTGATGGAGATAGCTGTTTGCTATGGTGTAATTCCTGTGTGATAACTTAATAGAGTTTTACTCTTGCTTTTGAGGCATGGTAAACCACAACTGACAATTATCCTACCTGAGCTATTGATTTTACAAAGAGATTTGACAAAGGCAATCTAAAAGTAAAAATAAAACTCTGTGTTTTATAAACAAATAAAACAACACTTCTTAAAATCACAAACATCTTCAGCGGATGATTGGTTACTTCATCCATAACAACACTTAATGTATCGACTTAATTTTGTGCATTATTTGTAGAAAACCATGTAAAATTTTTTAGGTCAAAGCACACATAATCTTGATGATATACACCTCAGTTTAGGTGTACTCCAAAATTTCTTCGGGGTACAAAATACGGTTTTGAAAATAATAACAACATGGGAGGTTTGAATTAAATCAACAGCTGATTTCAAATTTTATTAATATTTTTATCCTTAATAATTACATGAACAGTCAATGATAATACACAAATTCACAAATTTACCTTTGATTAGAAAATCTTCTATATAATCGAATTTATTTTCGCTCATCAATCGATTTGGATGTATTTAATACCGTAATAGGGCAAAATTGCAGTTTAATTCCTTTGATTCTGCCTGCCAACCTTTTTGGGACTTCTCGCTTTCCGGTGCCATTCACCATCACTACAACTCTATATATCTGTATTTCTTTTTAAGAGAAAAATTTGAAGTGATACAAAATTTGAAGTGAAGTAAATTCATAAAACATTGCTCGCATCAAGTTCTTTAGCATCATTCAAGTCGGAAAACATTTTGTACAATAAATCACGGGGAAGCAAACAAGAATTTGGATGCATTTCTACACCGAGAACAAACAAAATTTTATGTGATGTGACTAAAATTTACACTGCTTTGACCTTAGAAATTGACCTCATTGTGTTTCTTGTTGATGTGTCTATGGAATTATTTTGTTTTATCTTTTGTCTTTGTTTTGCTGAACATAAATATGTTAAAATATAAAACTAGGCGTTGTCATTGAGTTCTATAATAACTGGAGCGGCTATCTCAAGCGCGGCCTTAGATATCTGATGACGCCAAAAAAATGGCGGATTTCGTCCGTTGCCGCTGAGATTTACCGAAATTGACCGCTTTTCCGAAATTTCACATTTCCCACTCCCTC